AAATAGAAGGTAAACAATGTTCTGCAACTGATCCGAATGCCGATAAAAGCTGATCAAATTGTGGATCCTCTCCTCTTTGTAATATTTTTGAAAGTGCTTTCTCCTACAATTTCATTATTGTTAATAATAAAAACAAGAAAAACAATTCCAATCGCATAAAATATAATACATACGTGTTCTGTCATCACTGCTTCCATTTTCTTCTCTGCTTGAGCAGTGAATTTAGCAAATGATGTACGCATTACAAATTCTCCAGGACTTAAATCCATGTCTCCAATTTGTTGTGGTCTTACTGTTTCTTTTTGAGCACCCCAGGGTAATATAACCGTTATTGCACTTACTCTACTAGAACTGGATTCTAAAAAAACAGGTTAACAATTGTTTTTTATAACAATATAAATATCAATGTGCAAAAGACTTACCATTTCCAGAGGCTGAGGTACTTGCAGTATGAATACTAACTGCATCACTACTCTCTCCTTGCGTTGCTCCATGAACCGTAAGTAATTCCTGACTAGTTTCAGGATTAGTTTGGGATATTGATATAGATGTACCTTCATGTAATCCCTCACTATGTACAATTCTAGACTCCAAAGATTCTAAAAGAAATGAACAATATAAAATATTTCTATATTCACTTTAATAATAATTATTTAAACTTTGTATGCGTATTATAATGTCGACATTTAAAGTTAATGAAGGTTATGTCTGATTGTATGCATTCTATTATTGGAGACAGAATGTCTTTGAATCTAACAACCAACAATTCAATATGATAGGAAAAGGTAAGAGATGAAGCCCCATTCTGTAACGTAACAGATGCCTACAATGAACACTAACTTAATTATATCAAGCTTGACACATGACTTCACATAAATATAGTTTTAAAGAATAACTTATACGTACGAAGTACTGATAAAATTAAAACTTACCAGTATGTGATTCATTTGTTGAACTGGATTGCGTATCCCCTCCTATAAGTATGATATTTTCTGATATGAGTTTAATGCATTATATTTTTTATATTTATTGATAATAACACAGTGTTGTGTTCATAATAAATTTAATTTACCTTCTATCATGTTGTCTATATTCTTTTCACTTTCAGGTAACATTTATACAGTATATTGTTATACCATGAGTACACTGCATTTTAATAAAACTGAAACAATTATTAAATTATCTGAATACGTTGATTATACCATATCATTAATATATATATATATATATACTATATACACTTTATTTGAGTTGCAATTGACGTTATCTCATGTTTACGTATAAAATATTAAAACACAACTAACAAATAATAAAATAAAATATATCACTTTCTTCAATGATTATATTTATAAAAACGAAATCAAACTGATATTTAAAATATTAAAAATCGTCAAACTTTTCATGTATTACTGTGTCATACATGACAACTATATCTATATATCTATATGTAACACATATCACATACTATAAATATATATGTATATATGTATATATACATATATATATATATTTTTCAATAAATTTTTACTGATACAAATAAAATGCATTCGCAAATGCATCGACAATTCATCATTACTTACACAAATAAGCAATATTTATCTATAAAGTAACAATGCAAGAGTAAGGTTAAGTTATGTTTTGATTGAAACGTCAAATTATTAGATAATTACAACCAATAATTACAATTTAGTACTTTGCTAAAGAATCATCCAATAGCTATCAACCACGATATAAATATAGTTAAATATAGTCGGCATATTTGGCGTTCGTGTCGCCGGAAGTTAAAAAATTATTAAAAATTTCTAGTTCCATAATTCTTTTCCATACATACTTAAGTAGTACAAAAATTGATTTTTACAAATTTTCTATTCTGATAAAAATATCACAATTACGAAAAAAAGAAACTCACATGATAATTGAAACTTTTTATTCCTCATACACATTTCTAATCATTATTTAATTATTGCATTAAAATCATTATTCTTTCTATCTATTGACGTTGTAATGTAAAAATTCGATCAATGTCAGTGGTGTTAGTACCGTGACCGCCAGTGGGCGATAGTAGGTACTTAACGCGATAACGGTACAATACTATCAAAAAATATAAACATATATATATATATATATATAGTACATATACATATATACAGTATTCTTTTATAATATATATAATACAGTTATATTACGGAATGAATCTGATTTATTTAATTTACTTCAGTATTTTGTAATCAATTTTTTTGATTATATTTATTCAAATTATAACTACGATTCTTACAATCTACAATCATTATTAGCATTCTTGAATCAAATAGTTAATGTCATATTTCAATAATTAAAAAATCATTTATATATATTTCTACTTTCTTGATTTCATTACTATAATTTGAATGATAATGAATTCTTATTGGTTTTTTAATGATTATATGAAAAAAATGAAAATAATAGATCGATTAACATTGATAGCATTATTTAATTATCTCGATGAGATTTTAAGTGAAATAATAATCGAATTCAGGTGCATTGACCATGATTGAAATCGTATACGAAATATAGTTATATGAGATACTGTCTACACTTTTAATATCAAGGTTGTCATTCAATCCAATATAACAACTGGAGACCCTTGTCACGTCACACGCTGCGTTAGCAATACATATACATACATATGTATATATGTATATTATTCTTGATTAGACATTTGAAAAAAATTCAATGATTATTTTATGTTAAATACATTTTCTAACTGTATATTTCGACAGTAGTCTTTGACTATCGTATTGATTCGGCATATACATATATATGTATATATATATTACCTTTTATGTTATACCTATAGTAGACATTATGTAACAAGCATTGTTTTCTATTTGTAAGCTTATAAACTTATACTTTTAAATACTTATTAATTATATAATGAATAATAAATTAAATAAAGCATTTTACGAAAGTGTTTGTTATTCTTAACAGGTTGTAATAATAATAATTAAAAAACTTAACCTCAACATAATCTTTTTTTTCCGAATTACTTTACCACGATGAAATATATTGATCATTATAATACGAATTTGATATTAATAATCATAGATTATTCTTTAGACTTATTATTGTAACAAAACATAATATAGTAACGTAGCCAAATGCGTAAACAAGGTCACTTAAATCTTACTGTAGATATTTTATCGTTCCAAATATGCATGAATGATATAACACGTTGCATCTAAAATCATCTATCGGTGTATGTAGTATTAAACGTTTACTCGTGACATTAGATTAAATTTTCCTCTATGTTAACGAACTTGTTTATCTTTCTATTTCTTATATCTATACTGATAAAATAAGGAAATGAAATTTCATGGACACGTTGTATCTCGAACGATCTAAAAGAAGTTACACAATAAAGAAAAATTAATTAATAAATGATATTTAGAGAGTTTTTCGTTTATCTTATAAGATAATAATTTATCTTATTAGAATAGGAATATTTTGGCAAAGGATATAAAGGATATGTGTGTAATATTAGAAAAAATAAATATGGTAGAAAGAACGAACAAGATGCATGTGCACAATTGTTGAAAGTGTCTTGTAAATCAGGATAAGAACTTGACGTTGACGTCAAAGGAACGCATTTAACGATGTTCTATTCTGTGCAAGGTCCACGACGACAACGACGGATCTACGAATCTTTTCGAGATGTATAAATACACCTTTTCGTTCGGCGGTTACTCCATTGAACTCTGGCGCTGTGTTTTAGCACAAACTGGCCCTAAGCCAGAGTTACGCAAGTCGTGCCCTGTTGACCTCCTTGTGTCCAAGAAGATTGACCTTGCGCTTCATTCTAGAGATCGAGAAATCAATGATAAAACATTAACCATTTTTTTTGAGAATGATCGTTCATTCGAAATGATATGAATTTACTTATTTTTAATTGAAAATTAGAAAAGAAGGAAGGAAGGAAGGATTGGCAACAAAAAATGGCTGACAAGGGCGTAGTTAACGGACAAATACGAAGTATAAGAAAGAACACGATCATGTTGCCAATTGATCGATTGGTATTAGAACACTATGCAACCAATGACATTCGTATCTAATTGAGCACATTGCTGTAAGTTCGAAGAATCTCGGCCATGATTAAAACTTTTATCGTCCCTGGCATAATGTTTCGTCTTTTATCAAGTTTATACTTTTTTTTTTATTTCCTGGTACAAAAGTACGTCCTTCTTTCTATGGGTTCATTTACATTTATTTCGTTTTATATTAAATATGATTTTATCGAAATCTAATATCGATATACACGTGGTAATAGTTAACGATTCTCTAACGATGTATTGGCTATCACGTGATTACACGTATATAAGTGATTGCATTATTGACAAAAAACGCGGTTAATTCAAACGTTCGAGAACAATATCGAATGATAAAATAATTATAAAAGATATGCAAAATACTTTCATATTTTTCTAACGACTAACAGTTTAATGATATCATATATTATATTTTTTTGGTAAACAATCTTACGTTAGATCATTTCATCGAAATAATTAATAATTGCAAAATTTTAGTTGTATAGCGAAAGTAGATCTTTCGCAATATTTCCGCCACTAGCGCTCAAGGAGCCACTTGATAGAAGACGTTCCCTATAGGTCCATTCCAACCGGAAATACTGTAAAATATGAAGGCGCGTAAATCGGGAAATATTCAAACTCAAAGTGAAACATTGAAAAACATTTCTTAATAAATTGATAAAAGATGAAATCTTATCAGTGAAGTGTTTCGACCATGAAATGCAGTAGTCTCGTTGTTAAGGAATGCAACGAAAGTAAGGTCATGGAATTAGAGTAGCAAGCAAGAGAAACGATTCGGAAGTATACGTTTAGTGTCACGGTCTCCTCGTAGGTTGGTCGAACGTACGGCGTGCCAGAGAAGCTTGAACCTGCGCAGAAGAGGGCACGTGACCTGCACTTCTATTCTTAGCGGAGGGTCCGTTTGATGCGAAGAACACTGCCTCGTTCACTCGTCGTCCGGCGCGCGTCCAATAAACCATCAGGAGTGAGTTTTTCTCTCCTTATCTTTCCTTCCCGTTCGTTAACCCGTTTCTGTCTCTCTCGCCAACAAGCGAGTATCCATACCCGTCAAAGAAAAGAACAAAGATGTCTGGATTAGCGGACCCAGTGGCATTCGCCAAGGATTTCATAGCTGGTGGCGTGGCCGCTGCTATCTCAAAAACAGCAGTAGCACCTATCGAACGTGTGAAACTTCTATTGCAGGTACAGCACATCTCTAAGCAAATCGCCGAAGATCAACGTTACAAGGGTAAGTTTCATTTGTTTCGTATAATTTGTAATAATAATAATAATAAGTTAATATTCCTAATATTTCAGCGACCGTTTCGAATCGATTTTCGATTCGACTCGGTCTCACATAAGAGGTGTTTCCTCCTCCCATCATCATCATCGATCGATCGTGCACATTACATTCATAGTAGAGTCTTTCAATTGATCTTTTTCCTTATGATTCTTATCTCTTGAAAAACCCAACACGGATAATACATTTTCTAGTTTGAATGATATTTAACAAGCTAACTTTGTGCGAATTATATTTTAACCGTTATGTAATGGCATGAACGAGGGAAAGAACAATGTCGGAATCGGAACGCGTCGTCGCACACACGACTCGCGTATTTCCTAACTTTTATCCCCATTTATGTAATAGAACGGAAGGTCGATTCTCGTTCCACTTACATAATGCGTTCTGTTATAAAGATCTTTTAAAGAGTTAAAATATATGTCTTTTTGTCAATGGATATTAATGGGTCGATATTCTCTATAAAGACATTTTGACTGCCAGATGGCACTTCTTCGATGACGATGGCTTCGCCTTTTCACTTGACACTGCGTGCTCCTTGCTTGCCGATCGATGACGATGCGGGCAAATATGGCCGCCGTTCTCACAACGTTCGAATCTTTTTTCATCCGCATATTCCATTGTCATGTATTTCGATATCGATCGTTATATCGATGACTTTCAAATGTTTCTATTATAAATGACATTATTTCTATTGTTAGTTTTACAACGTTGCAATTTGCAATACTTTGATTATTGCATACCTCTCACATGCTTTCTCGAATGGAAACCATGTTGGTTGCTTAGGTTAAATTTTGATATATTCTTACGATCTGATTTATATTGACCCTGAAAATAAAATTAGAAATGAAATATTTAACATTAGAATATTACTTTTTATTGAATTAATACTTATCTATTTTGAATTTGATTGAAAACTTTGATTGATTGATTGATTTAACGATCTAATAAGTTGGATGATATTATGGCGTAATATCAATTAATTTGGTACGTTTTAATTGACGTCCGAGTTCTTTTTCTTCCCGTTTGTTTTATTAGGTTTGAATAAATTGAAAAATTGATGCAGTTGTATATATTTATATTTTTCAGGTATGATCGATTGTTTCGTTCGTATCCCTAAAGAACAAGGATTCTTAAGTTACTGGCGTGGTAATTTTGCAAATGTCATCCGATACTTCCCTACTCAAGCTTTGAACTTTGCATTCAAAGACAAATACAAGCAAGTTTTTCTTGGGGGTGTTGATAAGAATACCCAATTCTTCCGTTATTTCCTTGGTAATCTTGCATCTGGTGGTGCTGCTGGTGCCACGTCTCTCTGCTTTGTGTATCCACTTGATTTTGCCAGAACTAGGTAAAATAATATTATTACTTTAATTAAAAAAAAAGTTAAAAGAAATTCTCTAACATACTATTTTGTGTAGGTTGGCAGCTGATGTTGGCAAAGCTGGTGGAAATCGTGAATTCACTGGACTTGGAAATTGCTTGACTAAGATCTTCAAAAGTGACGGACTTACCGGTCTTTATCGTGGTTTCGGAGTATCCGTCCAGGGTATCATTATTTATCGAGCGTCTTACTTCGGTTTCTATGACACTGCCCGTGGCATGCTGCCGGATCCTAAAAAGACACCATTCCTTATTTCATGGGGTATTGCCCAAGTAAGTCAATGGTCGTGCTGCTCTAAAAATCAACGAATATGTTTATTACATATGTTCACAAGGTGTTTACTATAAATATGTAATATTTATTTTTCAGGTTGTAACAACCGTAGCTGGTATTATATCTTATCCCTTTGACACGGTACGTAGACGTATGATGATGCAGTCTGGACGTGCCAAGACTGATATCTTGTACAAGAACACTTTACATTGCTGGGCTACTATCTACAAGACAGAAGGTGGTAGGGCATTCTTCAAAGGTGCATTCTCTAACGTTCTTCGTGGTACTGGTGGTGCCCTCGTACTTGTATTGTACGACGAAATTAAGAACCTTCTTTAAGAATACTGCAATGATATCCTCACCTCATTAACTTCACAATCGCGATCACAACCACCTTCATCGTTATCCTTGTCATTCAATTTAGTAACAATTTCCAAATCGAGAGACAGATTACCCATATAACTGTCGATAACTATTAACAATTAATTCAAGCAAAGGATAATCGACAGCGATTAATGCATGGAAAACTCGCCAGAATATAATAATAATAATAATAATAATAATATTGTTTTCGTGAGTTAGATGAGAAAATATTCTTAATTTATTGTCGAATTCAGTATTTTGTTGCAGTGACTCAACGTTATATATAATTACAACTTATTATCATATGTCACTTCCATTATAGAACAAACAAAAAAATAAAATATATGTACGTATTTGCGAAAAGGAAAAAAAAGTATAACAGTTTTAGAAAAACTTGTTTGACGTGTAATATTATAATAAAAAAAAAAAAACTAAAAAAAAAAAGCATTATACGTGCATATGTGAGAAAAGCTATAATTAAAATATTGGAAAGGTAATCGGTCTACTTGACTTTAACATTGAAGGTTGTTCATAGTAAAAGCAAAATAAACAGGGATGTACAATTGATCGAGAGAGGGACGCGCGACGAAAAATAAAAAAAAAAAACATTTAATAAACGGCGATGGCGGGGCGCGTAGACCTGGGCCGCCCCCCGCCCTTAATCTCGGCCCATTGTAGATAATTAATTATTCGTAATTAATAAAATATCATTTTATGGTATCAGTGAAAGTCCATCGAAGTTTCATGGACATTTTATTTAATTTCACACTCCAGTCGACTATGTGTAAGATAATGAGACGCGTTATTCAGAATGAATGTAATCTGTTTATGTTAAGATGCATTCAAGGAAAGCAGCAAATCAATAAAAATGATACAAAATTTAATATTTCTTTTCTGCCATACCTTTGTTACATGAATTCTAATAAAAATGTATCTTAATTATTATAATGGTAATATATGTAGTATAATCATAATTTGTTTATCATAAATTAGTAAATGATTATTTTCTTTGTGTAGTCAAATAAATCTAATAATAAAAATAGGTAAATATGAAAAAAAATTAAAATAAGTCTTATGGTATATCTTATCTTATAATTTGAACATTAAAAAGAGGAAATATAGTACAATTGGTCTTATATTTAATACTTAAATAATATAAAAGAGAGATAGATAATATTAAATCTTTTCATATATGTTTGTACAAAGTTTGAAAAAGTTCATAAAAGGAATGACAAGTTAGGGGGTTAGGTACACCATGGACACACTTACTTTTATATACACCAATATGATATGAAAATGTAAGCAGGTCATACTGTTGTTCTGTTTGTATCACCAGCTATTTTATTTAAAATTCTACTAAGACCTGGCATATTCAGTATGGTTCCTAGTATAGGAACTCTTCTCAAAAAGCTTATTGCTACTGGTAAAAAGCCACTGTAAAATAGAAACAAATATTTCAAATAATTAAATACATTAATACGATTTTAATGCAATAGAGTTAAATGAATACCTGAATAATAATACGAAACCATAAATTTCTATAATTATTCCAATAACTGGCCAACCCATCAATACGACTAAAATACCACCTAAAAAGGATGCACTGGCTTTGATTTTATGCCATTGAAAAAAGAAACTTAACGTTCTTCGTGGTCCAATAACGCAAGCTAAACCTGATATGAAAAGGAGCTGTAAAAAAAAAAATAATAATAATAGTTTAAAGATCATATTAAAATATGTATTCACATTTTTGTTATAAATGCTTACATTTCCAATTGCAAGCAAGCCTTTATCAAAGAATAATAAAATTCCAAGGAATAAAAATGATATTCCAAATCCTGCAAGCCCAACTCCAATTTCTATAAAATAGAAAATTCTTGTCTTATTATCATGACATTGTAAATTATGTTACAATTTCAAAAGTTTGTTTTTATTTTTTTGTTTGTTTGTTAAATATTATAATCCGATTTTATAAAATATAAGACCAATAATTTACTTACTTTGTGTATCCGTGATTTCAAACATAGTCGACAGTTATTCTTGATGATTTTCTTTTATAAATTATAATGAGTAATATAAATTTGTAATAATATTTGGTTAAGATGACTGACTTGTATAAAATCTAACCTATATTCACGTTATTCCTTACGTAGCAGCATAGTATCAGTCAAGTCCATTAAATATAATGTTATCAGCTTTTACTATTTTGACGTATGTATTTGTACGGAAATGCATTTATTGATAAGTATTTAAAAATTGTGTTTTTTTAGATAAATATGCTAATATACCTGAGGTAAGGAAGTCAAGGCGTTCGCGAGTTCTACAGTCACCGTGTCATTTAATTAACAGCAGTAGTTTACCGACATTGTTGTGTTTTCAATGCGCTGACTGTACCACTGATGCGCGGTAAATTTGAATTGGATATTTGTCATATTCGTATTTATTTTGTTTTTTCTATAAGGTGTCTCAGATTATTTCAAGAAAATTTGACCAATGTATTATTCTAAAGTTAAGAAATAGAATAGAAAATAATGTTAAATAAATATGAGCTTTTAAATGCTTTATTAAAAAGTTTTAACAAAAATATGAAAACAGTACTGAGACATCTTATATATTTTATTATATTGCACTATAAAAGAAAAAGTTTTATTTAAAAATAAAAAAAAGAATGAAGAGGGATATTATATACAAAATAAAATTAAATTTTTGTTTGTTTGTTTATATTATCGATACGATAATATATACGATTATCTTCTATATATAAACAATTTATTATACAAAATTTGATAATGAAGTGAAAATGACGATTTGTAATAACGTGATATTAACGATAATTATATTACAAAAGGATAAAAATGAATTTGATCATTAATCGTTAATATGGCTAATACTTATTTCTAATTACACGATAGAAAAATATTATTTACAATCGATTCAAGGTACATAAATTACGATGGACAGGCACTTTAGCACATTAGAGATGATCTAAGCCACTGCAATAAAAATAAAATTAATTTTTCAACAAAATTAAAATATATTTAAAAAAAGATATTTATATAAAGTTAAAGTACAAATATTGTTATTTATAATTTTATTTTCATTTTAATTAACATACCTCTGATAAACTTAATTTTATAGTTCCATTTTGCAAAGGATCTTTGCTCTCGAATATACCTGAAAATAAATCAAGTTAGGATTTCTTTTCTAAAAATCTGAAGCTATATTTTAAATGAAATAAATTCTGACAATATACATAAGTTATATTATTTGTTTGTTCATACCAAATGCATCACTTAAATGTAATATAGCTGAGACAAAATCGCCGAATCGCAGAGTTCCATCCTTCCTCATATATCGAAGGATAAGGATCGACAATACGTCAGTATTTAATTGAAAACCTACCAATAAAATTAATAATTATAGAAACACATACAAAAGAGTACATTAAAATCTTTGTAAAGTAATCTGGTAAAAACGTACCAACTTCTAAAAGAGCATCTCGTAATCTTTCAGCTTTGAGAATACCAGTCTTTTCTTTCGTATGATTTTTAAATGCAGCTTGCCAATATTTCAAACTACACATGAGATCTTTGAAGTCATTGAACTTTAATCTACCACTACCTGAACTCTATATACACATATGAAAACAAGTTAAGAAAAAACGAACGTTTCTATTAGATCAAATAATAAACAAAATAATTAAAGGAATAGTTTAATTTTCAAGGATACATCCATCGTTAAAACAACTTGTCGACAAACTTCCATGCATGCACAGCTTTTAATGTAATCTGCAATATGAGATATATTTTAGAATTGTATTTGTATTTACATTATATTATCTTTTAAGATTTATCAAAGTACCATTAGGAAGACAAGCTTCGAGTAATTCTTGAAGTTCAAAAGCATTTACTGTTCTGTGCTCATCAGCTAATTGTAGGAACACAGCTTCGTATTGAGAAAATCCTTTGCCTTCTAATGGAGGTGCTTTGACGATAGCTGATTTCATTAACGATGGTGGTGTATCCAGTAATCTATAAATTATTATTATTAAAAATGATTTTCTATAAAATACTTTGATGAATTAGATGCACCATTTACATACTTGAGTTTCAAAGGTTTACTGCTGTAAACTCTTAACGTAAAACTTGTTTCCTGAGTTGGTTCAAAGGTAGTTGGTACTAATAAGTAACCACCCTGTTCAAGTTGACACCTATGACTCACTTGTCGACTATTCGTATATTCAGAATTAACCAATGATTTGTTTTTCTTAAAAAATTGTTTGTTTATCGATTCTGTACTGTTCTTAGGTAAAGTGTAAGCTGTGAAACCTATTACCTGTAAATGAAAGATAAAAAGAAAGATAATAATTAAATGTTAATGTAATGTTACTTATTAGTTGTAAAATAGTTCATTGAAAGTATCTTACTTTCAATTCCATGATAGAATGTTGATTCAACGATACGATTACTTCTTCCATCTCGCTCAGAATCAAATGTAGTTGTGGATTTATGTGAAAGGTTTCTGCGTGATGGGAAATATTTATTATAGTTGTTGTTTTTTTTTTTATATAATCGTCCTATTACATGTTTTCTAACTGACAGGATTAAACCAACCTTGATTATTTCGACATCCACCTGCTGTTACACCTCTCCTCCAACTACCCTGATATAATTTCATTTGCCATGTGTGTTTATTGTGCAACGATGGTTCATCTCTCGACGTTTCAGCATCCAAATGAACCACTTCTAAATGAGTGAACGTTTTTACAAAATCAGAGTAGGATATCCTTCAAAGAAAAAGAGGAAAAAAAAACAAAATTGTTTTAATATTTCTTAATCATTAAATTTATGATGTAAAATGAGTTTTGTATTATTTCATAGTTGAGTAACTCACCAAAATTCGCCTTCAGCCATGTTTCTAACCGCTAAACGTTCTCGTTCCATTGCTGGAATTTCGTCCCACTCAAGACCACCACGTGCCCATGCTCCTATATACTCGCCACCAGGACCAAGTGGATTTCGCAATTTTACCAGTTGTACAGCCTCACCACTAAATGTTTCTACCTACGTATTGCGATACGTTTATTTTATACTTGTCCTTTAACATCTTACACACAAATATTTCAATTTATTTAATTTACCCTTTCAATGGCGTACAATCTATAATTTATTCCCATTTGTATACCGTTGGCTAATTTTTCTGTACTGGCACGTAACTGTAAAAGAAAAAGAAACAGCGTTTTTAAATTTGTACGATTTTTTTTTGTTTAAATCAATTTAATATTACCTGATGTTGTTGATTATTGTGAACAACACAGGTGATTAAGGAAGTCATATCTAAAAGTTTAGCCAATGCTCTACCACAAGCAGTTGGATCTTGTCTGATGGCAATGCTTTCCGTGATGCCACCAGTTAAATCGGACAAACCATCTAACAGCGTGCCATATTTTAATGCCTCGTAAGAACCGTGAAGCCTGAAATGTTCAAATGAAAAGTAACATATAACTAATGGGCTGAATTAGAGAAAGAGAGAGGAAGTAAAAGTGCCTCTCTAGTTGAGGCAGGTCAAGAGGTCTCGTGAAAATGACTGTCGTTGAAAGATCGGAAGGAAGGAGAAGATTCTTAGCTTCAATCTATCGATTCAAACTTGACAGAGAAATCCTTTAAATAAACTTTCTTCTTTATAATAAATTACATTAGAAATATTTCATTTAAATAAAGATCAAAAACCAATGTTCAATGTTACAATTTATATTATTTCATTTAAATTAATTTAGAATCTGTTTTAACTGGTTAACTGTGATTGACGAGTATACTCGTCATGCGTATAAAGTAGCAACTATTGGCTATTTAAATTGTAATTTTTGAGAAAAACAAAATATATTATCAAATTTCAAGATGTTTAGAATATTTTGAGATCATGTTGAAATAAAACGAGCAATTAAAAAATATAAATAATTTGAGATGAACTCATGGATGCATCTGTCTCAGTATGCATCTGAATTTATTTATGTGTGTTTAAAGTTTAATCTCTAAACCGTAACCATTCGCACGCACGAGTAGTTGAGAGAGGAATTGCATGGGTATTTTCTCAAGGAAGACCGACTCAACTCACGACGTATCACGATTAAGATGAAATGTTCATGCAATTCGTCGTTTGTCGTCGAATCATCGTCTCGTAACGAATCTAACCGGTAGTAATCATTTCTCCTTTTGTAAATCTATCAAACGTGTACCTAGGTTCCTGTTAGCTTTGATCATTGAATTCTTTTACCAGGGTGTTTTTTTATTTTATTCATTTGGTGTTCGTGGTCTCGAATGGGTTCAAATGTATGTTTTACTTTGTTGTATACATGAAATTAGAAATAGGGGTAATTTATTGTTTGATAAATAATTTATCAAATCCCAATGAGGTTGTTAACGTTGTTAGAATAATTTTGTGTACTCTGATAGAAGTTTGTAAGTGTGGTCACCGGTGCACTGACCTCTGATCCATTGCTGGCACCCAACCGACTACTTGCCGAGTGAAAGTATCGCTTGGGTATATACTTGTTTAGTATATAACCACGTTGGCATGTGCGTGCACGAGTATGGGTGCCCAGCATAGCAGAGCATGCCAGAAATCTCGATGTCGAGTCGAGTTCTGATTTCTTATTCTTAGTCTTCTTCTTATTCTTCATTTCCAATTCTTTGAGATATTTTCATTTTGTGTTCTACAATTCTATTCAATTAATTTTTTAGTCCAAACAAATTCATTAAAAATTGGAATTATTATTTTATAAAACAAATGTCATCATTTCATTTAAGAATATTTATTTAAATCAGATTATTGTTATGTACAAATGAGTGTCTTGTCACACGTTTTAAGAGGAACGAGTTTATTTCACATGTTAATTAAATGTTAATTTTAGAAGAAGACTTTTTAACTTAAGCGGTCATCACTAGGAGTGACACTTGTTTTCTAATGGAAATCGATGGAGAATACATACACGTTCCTTTTGAAGATGGATCGTCAATAGGAAACGTAGCTTTCTAACTGATTTTAATGCACGATTCTTGCTTTAATAAAATCGTGTGTACGTGTGTTCCGAATCCAACAGATTTACCCACCATCAGGTTGGTTGTCATGAAAGAGGAGGTAAAGATCGGATGAACAAACTCGTTGAAATTCATTTTTCATTTTTTTTTGTAACCCATATGTGGTTTACCAAAAGTTATGGTTCAAAATCACAGTCTTTTTTTTTTTAACAAAGAAAAGGTGTCCACGTTACTTTCTAAGGGGTTCGTCAATCATTGAAATTACGTTTGTAAATTTGTTTACGAGGAAGATAACCGTGTTTGGTGTGTGCATACAAAGTTTCCTTTACGCTTATGGC